ATTCTGCAAAGACTTATGTGAGAAAAACCTGGAAATACTCTTCTAAGACATAAAAGCTGGCTCGAACAACTGGAAAGACATATTTTGTTCTTGGATAGAAAGGCTCAACACCATAATGTCAGTTCTCTCTAAGTTAATTTAAAAATCCAAAATAACCCTCCTTCCCAATAATAACAGATTTTCTTTTGAAAGTAAGCAAGCCAATTCTCAAGTTCATGTGGCAAAATAAAATCAAAACTAGCCAAACTAAACTCTAAAAACTCCAACAACAACAACAAAAAAAAAAACACCAACAATAAAGGGGGACTAGCCATATCAGTGGGGGCTTTCCTGGTGGTTCAGTGGTAAGAAATCTGCCTGCAATACAGGACACCCGGGTTCTATTCCAGGGTCGAGAAGATCCCCTGGAGGAGGGCAAGGCAACCCACTCTAGTCCTCTTGCTTAGAGTCCCATGGACAGAGGAGCCTGGCGGGCTGCAATCCATGGGGTCACAAAGAGTCGGATATGACTAAGCAGCAGCAATTGTATTCGGTATTCAAATCAATTGGAAGACCTCTCTAATGAAAACAGCATAATAATGGCACATGAGTTGACAGAGATACAATAGAAGATAACATAAGATCCAGAAAGTGAACCAGAATGAAATATGGGAATTTCATCTATAATAAGGAAGGGCAGTATTTGACATCAGTAGGGATACCAATTTTTTTAAATTTTGTGTTGGCAAAATTGTACAGCGACTTGGAAAACAATAACATTGGATCCGTTCTTTACATCTGCACCAAGGTAAACTCCAAATGGATCCCGAATCGAAATGTAAAAAATAAAACACAAACCAAGGCTCCTGTCTCCTTCTGCTCAGCAGCTCAGACCCAGCACCCAAGTGTCCCAAACACTGAGCTGATGACATTCCTGGGGAAGAAGGGCTGTGGGCCTTGCCTGAAGGAGAAGAAATGTGCCAACTCACTGCCCCAGCACAAGGCCATGCCCAGGACAGGGGTGATCACCCCTGCTGGGCAAGCAAGTTGGAGCCCCAGGCTTGGGCAAGAGGGAGCTGAGGTTCACACTTTCAAGTCAATCCAGGTGGTGCAGATCCCACCCCTGGCCACCTGCCAGCATCATCATCCCCCTAGGCTGATGCCTGACCCAACCTGCAAGTACCTGCATCTTCCCCGTAGACCCAGTGCCTCAAAGGCCCCAAACACTCAAGGGAAAAATGATCAAATAAAACAAAATACAAACAAAAACAAAACCATACAAGCAACAGAAGCAGAGTCAAAATACAAGTGAAAAACTGGGGAAAAGTATACACATCTCTTCTCCCAAAGGACTAATCATCTCCCAGAAATTGCAGCTAAAAAGACCAACAAGAAGAAGATACATACATGTCAAGACATGTTCAACTTCCCTCCACATAAAAGAACTGCCAATTCAAATGACACTGAAACACCATTTCTCACCTATCGGATGGCAAAAAATGTCCAAGTTTAACAGCACATGCTGTTGGCCAAGCAGTATTGACACTGCTGGAAGGAATGCAAAATGGAACATTCGTTAATATCTATGGATTCTAGATTCACAGGCCCAGCAACCCCAGCTTTGGAAATCATCCAGGTGTACCTGCACAAATAGGAAAGCATCACCTGGACAATGTTACTAGTTATGGTTGTACACATCAAGAGGAGAAACAACTCAGGGGTCCAAAATAGGGAAGTGGTTGAATAAACGTGGTATGGCCACACATCAGGATGTTACACAGCTGTCAAAAATAGTGAAGATCTCTGGTCACTCACATGGACAGAATCCTAGAGTAACTTTTTTTTTTTTTGAGAATTTTCAAGATCGACTCTCTTACCAACTTTCAAATCCACATTTCAGTATTACTAGCTACAGTCACCATGCTGTATATTAATATCCTCAGAACTATTTATTTTATAACTGCAAGTCTGTACCTTTGGAACACCTTCACTCATGTCATCCACCCACCCCCCTTCCCCTGCCTCTGGCAACCACCAGGCTCTTCTCTGTATCTCTGAGTTCAATTTTGAAGAGTTTACATAAAATTGAGATCACCTAGTATTTGTCTTTCTCTGTCAGACTTAATTCACTTCGTATAATGCCCTCAAGTCCCATCTATGTTGTTGCCAATGGCGAGATGTTCGTATTTTGGACGGCTGAATAATATCCCACTGTATATATATATATGTATAGATAAAGATGGGTCTTTATCTCGCTGGAGAAGGAAATGGCAACCCACTCCAGTGTTCTTGCCTGGAGACTCCCATGGACAGAGGAGCCTGGCTGGCTACAGTCCATGTGGTCGCAGAGTTGACACGACTGAGCAGCCAACACATCTTTATCTATTCATATGCTGATGGGTACTTAGGTGGCTTACCTTACCTATTGTAAATAATGCTTCAGTGGATATGGGGGTGCAGATACCTTTGTGAGTCAGTGATTTTGTTTCCTTTGGATAAATACCCAGAAATGGAGTTGGCAGATCATATGGTAGCTCTGTTTTTATTTTTTGAGGAACCTCCGTACTGTTTTCCTTAGTTTATGTGCCGATTTACAGTCCCATCAACTGTGTAGGAGGGTTCCCTTTTCTCCAACATCTTTGCCAGCATTTGTTACCTCTTATCTTTCTAACAGCCATTCTGATAGGTGTGAGGGGCACCTGTGCTTTTGGTTTGCATTTCCCTGACAATCAGTGGTTGAGCCTATGTTCATGTGCCTGTTAGCCATCTATTTGTCTTCTTAAATGAACAGACAATGTAAAATGGAATATAGACTAAGCTACCTTTTGTTCAAGAAAGGAGAAAATAAGGAGCTATGTACATAAGTCCTTGTATTTATATAAAGAAATATTGGACACGTGAAGGAATAAACTAAGAAAAAATGGTTACTTGAGGGCTAAGGGCAATTAAGATGGATGATGACAGAGGGGAGATTGAGATTTCTCCATGTATGTCTTAAATATATATATATATATATATATATATAAATTTATGAAACATGTAGACATAATATCTATCCACAGACACAGAAAAGAAACATGGTTACCAAAGGGGAAAGTGGGGGATAAATGAAGAGTTGGGAATTAGCAGACACACACGAATATGAATAAAACAGATAAACAGCAAGGTCCTACTGTGTAGCATCGGGAACTATATTCCATATCTTGCAATAACCTATCATGGAAAAGCTCTATAGCTGTATAGCTGAAAGTAACACAATACTGTAAATCAACTACAGTTAAATTTTAAATTTAAAAGAGCAGTCACAAAACTAACTTCGCTCATGGATTCAAGAGGATGAAACACCAGCTTAGCTTGCACTGAAAGACTTACCTAAAAACAGACTCAGCTTCTGTTAGTCATTCAAAAAACATGAACAGAGTACTACTTGGTCTGGGCCATGTAAGAACTGAATTATTGTCTTTTTTGTGCTAGTAGCCTGCTTTGTTATGTCGTTGTGTTACAAATGTTACGGTGTGGACTTCTGGAGGACAGGGAGCAAGTCTTTTTTTCTCGATGACACAGGGCCTAGTTCAGAGTTGGTGCTCAATTAACCTCTGAGCCACCAGGGAAGCCCTTGAGTTGGTGCTCAATTAAAAGAAAAAAGGAATGAATACTCCCCATAAGATGTGAACCAAACAGCAGCTGAGTGATAGCGCCGCGTTTACTCGCGGCCCTGACGCATGATCGCCACCTAGTGGCCACAGAAGATTCCTGAAGAACTTAGAGAAACGACTTCGGCGTGTGTTCCAGAGACGGCTTTCAACCAAAAAGCATCAAAGCCTGTCTAAAGGACTATGTCCCTCACTAGAAAAAATTACCCTTTTTGGTCTTGGTGTGTTGGGAGGATGCCACTGAGGCAGTCTCGCGTCCTAAGTCTCTTCCATCACCACCTGATCACACGCCCCACACACTACTAACCTGTGCAAAGTCCACACCTGCCACACCTCCATTGGACCTCCCGAGAAGGAAACACATGTGATAACAGGTGTATACACTCATGGCTATCCCCAAGTGGATGAGCGGCTAGTCAACTTTCCTAAGCCAGTCTCCTCAGGACAAGATATACACCAGTCCTAGCCAACGACCTGCCACGAACTTTGGTCTGCAGGTTCGCCAGCTTCCTGCAGCGTCGGATACTCTCCAGTAAAACTTTAAAATGGTTCGTATGTCGAAGGGCAGAGAAGAAACCTGCCTCGAGCTGGCATTGCAAGGCCGGGTCTGTGGCAGACCGTCACCCCCCACCCCCCAACCTTTGAACGTCAGTGAGTTTTCCAAGCAGCTGCACCCTTAGCAAAGCTGTTCAGTGCTTCAGAGCCCGAGAAATATTGGACCTCGTGTTTAGGGACTGGTGGACCCCAAAAGAATGATGAAGGTAAACACTGGTCGTGAATCAGAAAAACCAAGTCTAGATCTATGGCTGTAATGAGAAAATGCCTCTAAGAGACGGACAGGAGTCTGCTTCTGGCTCAGCGGAGAAAGGGGTCTGAGCAAGTGTACGTTGCAAAGACCTTGTCCCGCGGACGCAGCTGGAGAGAAGGAATTTCGAGCCTGGGGTCGTCCATTTAAGGTGGTGATGGGATGCATAGGAAGGGGAGGTCTCCTGAGCGCCCTGTGTCTCCTCCTACTGAAAGCCCGCGGTGCCCAGAGGTGCCAGCAAAGAGGGGCGTCCGAAGAAAGGAAGAGCTAAGAAGGAACAGCCTGGGGAAGACCGCGCGGGCGGCGGTGTCCGATGACAGTTACGCGGAAGGATGGGGCTCTCGGCCGATTGCCGCCGCGGCCCCGGGGACCAAGACGCTCTTTTGGGAGGTCCCGCACCGAGACCGGGGTCGGCGCTCGCCTCCTCGACGTGCAATCTCGCTTTGCCGGCCGCCGGCCTCGCCTGCCGCCCGAGCGCCGGGAACGGGGAGGATCCCGGGGTCCCCCGCGGGCGGGAGGGCCCCGGGACCCCCCGAGGGCGCGGGGCGACGCCCCCTACTCACGTAGCGCTGCAGCTTCCTCTCGGGGGGCGACTTGACCAGCCAACCCGTGCAGACGGTGTCTCCCGCGCTCATGGTGCCTGCCTTCCCTCCAGCTCGGCCAGCGCCCGCGGCGGAGGAAGTCGGTGGGGTTGCTGGCGGGGCGGGCCCAACGCCTCCCGCCCGATCGCCGGCCCAGCGCCGCCCCCCCACCCCGGCGGCCCTGAGACCCTCGGCCCGGAGGGGGGGCCGGGCGCCACCACCCGGCTCCAGGCAGCCCAGCCCAGCGGGCCAGAGCGGGTCCCCCCACCGCCAATCTCGCCCCCCCGTCCTCCCCTCCCACCCCGATCGGCAGCGTAAGAAGGGCTGATCTCCGGGCCTCGGGCCTCGGAGTCGCGAGAGGCGAAATCTACACCCGCACCTGCGGAGTCAAAGCTCACGGACGCAGCCTAAGCGCCCCGTGACTTCCCGCTTCCCCTGGTTCGCCAAGGACTGCTTCTGCTGGAGCTCTCCCCCAAAGATCTCAGAGTCCGGCGGCAAGACTGTACCCAAGTCCTCCCCAATCGAAAGGTTCACACAGGCAAGGGCTGTTTGCAGACTTGAAAAGAGGGATCCCAGAAAGACAATGCAGCCAGGGACTGAAGCCGGTAAACAACAGCCACCCACACGACACTTGCTGAGTCTTGCAGGGCCCCGTAACTATGCCAAACGCTGGACAGGAGGCTAGCTCCCTAGATCCACACCCCCTATTTTCACGGTCTCAATCGTGCAGGTGAGTAAACTCAGCCACAGCGACACATTCCCTGCCAAAGTCACCCAACGGAGGAACTGAGACTCAGCCAGACCTGGCTGTATGCTCTTCAACGGACACTCTGCCCTTGGTGAACACACTTGGTAAACACAAAAGCACGAATAACAAAGTTAGGATCAGCACCTAAAGTTCTAACCCATGTGATGCCTCTCCCTCAGAAAGGACACTTGGAAGCAACAAAGGTCACATCATTTCGTTGATTGACAAAAAAGACTTCTCAGCCTCCTACCATGTCTTTCCAGAGAGCAATGATTCTTGTACATTGATGTTCATGTGTTGTTCTATAATCAGTCAGGATTCACTGTGGGGAACAGAGTTTGCTCTAGGGGTTTCAAGCAGAAAGGGATTTAATTCAGGGAGCAAAAGAAAGTGAAGTCCCTCAGTCGTTTCCGACTCTTTGTGACCCCATGGATTGTAGCCCACCAGGCTCCTCCATCCGTGGAATTTTCTAAGCAAGAGTACTAGAGTGGGTGGCCACTGCCTTCTCCAGGACATCTTCCCGACCCAGGGATCGAACCCAGGTCTCCTGCATTTACCATCTGAGCCACCAGGAAAGCCCTTAAGGAGAAAGGTGCTTACAAAACCATTGGAAGTGCTGTAGCATCAGGAGTCAGTGGCAGCTAAGGGAAAACCAACTATCCACTGTACTAAAACCCCTCGCTAGCCAATATCAATACACACCCCTAGCAACAACCACTGGTTCCTGGCAAATTTAAGGCTGCTATGCTATTCCTCCTACAAACAAAAGAGCACTCCCTAAAACAGGAGACCACAATGCCCATAAGTCACTATACCCATCTCTAGGGGATACTGATTTGACTTCTGGTTCACAAACCATCTCACCTCAACAGTCTCAAACCTAAAGGAGAACTTAAAGCTAACCTCGATCAACCTTTCTTTGACATCCATAAAATCAGCAGAGAAAGAAAATTGTAAAGTTGACATGTCCCTCCCCTCCAACAGCTACTACCATTCTCCTTTCTGTAACTGATCTTGAGACCAACTTTGGTCTTTATAATTTCCTTCTTCACTACCCTCCCTGCCTTCCTTTTGCTCTCCAACCTCAGCTGGTCAGAATCCTTTACCTGGTAAGTGACTCAGACATTTCTTCCCACTGAGCCTGAAGCCTGTGTGGTCTGCCTGGATGTGGTAGGAGTCAGAGGTACCCCAAAGGATCCCTTGGATTCAAGTCATAATCCTCAATCCCATGGGTGAACAGTGACCCTGTTTCCAGGTGATAACATCCTGAGAAACCTGTATACATTGCAAGAAGCAACAGTTAGAACTTTACATGGAACAACAGACTGGTTCCAAATTGGAAAAAGAGTACATCAAGGCTGTATATTGTCACCCTGCTTATTTAACTTGTATGCAAAGTACATCATTCGAAATGCCACACTGGATGAAGCACAAGCTGGAGTCAAGATTGCTGAGAGAAATATCAATAACCTCAGATATGCAGAGGATGCCACCCTTATGGCAGAAAGTGAAGAGGAACTGAAGAGCCTCTTAATGAAAGTGAAAGAGGAGAGTGAAAAAGCTGGCTTAAAACTCAACATTGAAAAACCTGGCTTAAAACTCAACATTCAAAAAATGACGATCATGGCATCCAGTCCCATCACTTCATGGCAAATAGATGGGGGAAAAATTGGAAACAGTGACAGACTTTATTTTCTTAGGCTCCAAAATCACTGGGGATGGTGATTGAAGCCATGAATTTACAAGACACTCGCTCCTTGGAAGTAAAGCTATGACAAACCTAGACGGTGTATTAAAAAGCAGATATATATGGACAAAGGTCCATATCATCAAAGCTATAGTTTTTCCAGTAGTCATGTGCGGATGTGAGAGTTGGACCATAAAGAAGGCTGAGCACCAAAGAATTGATGCTTTTGGATTGTTGTGCTAGAGAAGACTCTTGGGAGTCCTTTGGACCTCAAGGAGATCAAACCAGTTAATCCTAAAGGAAATCAACTCTGAATATTCATTGGAAGAACTGATGCTGAAGTTATCATGCTTTGGCCACCCAACGCAGAGTCAACTCATTGGAAAAGACCCTGATGCTGGGAAAGATTCAAGGCAGAAGAAGGGGGTGACAGAGGAGGAGATGATTGGATGGCATCACCAACTCAATAGACATGAATTTGAGCAAACTCCAAGAGACAGTGAAGGATAGGGAAGCCTGGCGTGCTGCAGTTCATGGGGTTGCAAAGAGTCAAACATGACTGAGCAACTAAAAAACAACAACGTCAACCATCCAAGCCTACTCAGTAGACTGGTAGTTTGCCTGTTGTTTCAGTGGCATAAAAAACCCTATGTGGCCAGATGGCAATCTCAACTTGTAATATGATGGAACCAACACTTGGATTCTTGTAGAAGCATCCCTTTCTTGGGAACCAACAGAGCTCCAAGCTGCGGGCAGGGGATGAAATGCCCTGAGAGTAGACGATTAGAAATGATGACTCCTAATCATGAGGAATCATCCCCCCTTCTTGATTCACAGGTCGTGGATTCCAGCAAAGGAGAAACACCACCATACAATGGCCACTACCTCAGTCTTGACTCCTGTAAGACAGCAGCTCCCCTTCAGTGTCTTTTCACCAACTAGGGTAGGAACTGACCTCTACTAGACTGAGCATCCCCACCGTCTCCAGCCTGGGTCTTCAGGGCAGTCCCTCACTGTGAGCACAGGGCACATGTCTCGTGTCTTACAGGGATTACCTTAGTCGGAAGCACTGTTATGTGAAAGATTGCTAAAGTGAATGCAAGACAGTAAGTCTGTGGGGGGCCAAGTCATCTGAAAAGTCGCTTAAGATAAGTACCTATTCAAGCCAGGACAAATTGTGGCCACCTCCCCCAGGAAGGCCACCATGCTGTGCTGTGCTTAGTTGTTCAAGTCATGTTGTTTACTCTTTATGACCCCATGGACTGCAGCCCACCAGGCTCCTCTGTCTGTGGAGACTCTCCATGCAAGAGTACTGGAGTGTGCTGCCATGCCCTCCTCCAGGGCATCTTCCCAATCCAGGGATCAAACCCAGGTCTCCCGCATTGCAGGTGGATTCTTTACCAGCTGAGCCTCCAGGGAAGCCCAAGACTACTGGGATAGGTAGCCTATCCCTTATCCAGGGGATCTTCCCAACCCAGGACTTGAACAGTGGTCTCTGGCATTGCAGGCAGATTCTTTACCAGCTGAGCTACCTGGAAAGTCCAAAGGCTCCCTTACTGGGGGATGACTGTATGTCTCTGCTGTGGACAGGCTGAGTACATAGCAGTGCCAGTGACTGCGGCCTAAGTGTCATTCCTGGGAGGGGAGACTCACTCCTCTCTGCTGATTCCTTTACTCTGTAAACTTCTGAAAGGTTTTTGCTGAACAAAAAGACGCTGGGATTCTTGGCGTCCAGAGAAGAATTCAATCTGGGGCCAGGGACGAGGCTTGATCGCTCAGAGCTTTTGTGTAATAAAGTTTTATTAAAGTATAAAGGAGATAGAGAAAGCTTCTGACATAGGCATCAGAAGGGGGAAGAAAGCCTACCCCCCTGCTAGTCTTCAGCTGGATGTTATATAGCCACTAGAAAGAAAGAAAGAAAATGAGGTCGCTCAGTCATGTTCGACTCTTTGCGACCCCATGGACCTACCCCATGTAGCCTACCAGGCTCCTCCCTCCATGGGATTCTCCAGGCAAGAGTACTGGAGTGGGTTGCCATTTCCTTCTCCAGGGGGTCTTCCCAACTCAGGGATCAAATCTGGGTCTCCCACATTCCAGGCAGACGCTTTAACCTCTGAGCCACCATATAGTCACTAGCAGTCTGTTAATGACAGAAAGGAATGTCTTAAAACTCTGAATGGCACCAGGCCCCTCATCCATAAGACGCATTTTGGGATAATCTTGGCACCAGATGATTCATCCCAGGCCATAAAATGATTGACTTGAATCTTGTAGAAGGGCAGATTACCATACAAATAGTTTCATTTACATAGATTAGGGGAACAATATCTGAGTGTAACATACTTGTTTGTCAGGTAGGTTGTGAGCCTTTAGGCAGAACCTACTTGAAGACAGAGTCTGGGGTAATTGAATAGTACATTAACATATCTTAAGACAAACATTTCCATAAGAAAAATGCATTGGTTAACTCAAGGTTTGAGAATAGTTAACTTCAATTGAAACCAGGTGTAATTATGGCAACACAATATTTTAAGAGAAACCCCCTTTTAAATTTGTATAGAGAAGGAAAAAAAATATTGATAGTGTGTTTCCTCCTGCCGCTTAAGAGAGATAAAAATG